TATTTTCCTCAAAAATGTGAAAAATGAGAAAATGATGAAAAAATTTTGCCTATCAAACACTAAAATTGAAAAATGGATGGAAAATAAGGCGAATCAAATGGAGCCTTATAGTCAAAATAATGATAGCTCAAGTCTCGACTCTTCCACTTTATTTCAAAGCTCCAACTTCTAGTTTTCTTTCCATTTTTATTAACGTAGCTCTCCTTCGAAAATAAAGTTTAAAATATGAAAATGAACCAAAATAAATAATAATTAATATAGATAATACCAGCCTCCATTTAAGAGTCAACGTTGCTGGAATCAGTGTCAGTATTGCAGCTTTGATACCAAGTCAAATTTCTGAGTGAATTCAATTTGGTCAACTTTCAACATCAAGATCTCAATCTGTTGGGAATTATTTAAACCCAAATATGAACAATTAATGAATAACAAACAAGAAATCACTTAATTATTATTTTTAGATGCCTCCAGGACACATCTCCAAGTGGTAAAAGGGGGAGGTGGAAAAACTCCAACTTTGCTTAAGGCTGCCACGTCAAGGGTTCGAATCTTGAAATATGGATTTGACCATTGGGTAAGTATACAAGCAGTCTTCCACCCTGTACACTTGGAGGCATAACCTGCGATTTACCTCCTTCACCAAGGCTTAGGGCAGGGCAGGTAGGGTCCACTAAAGATGCAGTTCATCCTTTTTTTTTAATTATTATTTCTAGATGATTAATATAATTAATCCAATTAACCCTAAGTTAAATAATCACATAAATGTATAGATCAAAAGCAATGAAGGAAATAACACCAGATATGATTACGGAGAAAAACCTCTCGAAGAAATCTTCACAAGGGTCAAAAACTTCCGAGCAAACTTGTCATTAAAATCTATTAGAAATGTTAATTTACAATTAGTCGAAAAACCACTAAACTTTAGCTAAATCTGGCAACCTAACTCGTAAATCACCATGCAACCCATTTCGTTTTGCGATCCGCACTTTCCAGCAACACTGGACTACATTTCCCTCCGCGTAGTTCATCAAGAACAAACTCATTCCTCAACGCTGAAACTCCAAGTGCCTATTCTCCAGACTTCAGAACTCTAAAGGATTATAGTAGAAGGTAGGGTTTTTTGTGTTTGATCTTTAAATCTTTTTGTATTTTAATCTGTAGATGAAGTAAGAGAAAATTGGAATATGTTATTGAGGATAGTCTCTTGACTAAATATATGGCTCAACCAATAATAAAACAATGTTGAGGATGAATTTATGAATCAATGATCAAATGGTTGAATCAAGAAATCTTTGGAATATGTTTGGATCTTCAATAATCTATCTTTAATATGAAATAAGATGGACCTATGGTTGTATATTTATAATAGGTAGTGTTTACGGTGAAATAGGATTGGAAAAAAAACTATTAAAATCGAATCACGACTGTTCTCGGATCGAATCACCACTTGAGCACTAGATAGGTGCCCCATGAGTGGCTGATCCACCACTAGAGTGGTAACGTTAAGGCCAGCGAGCACCACGTTCCTGATGTGGGTGATCGAGCACTATCTTGAAGTGCAACGAGCGGTTGTCTTTTTCGTTTCTTGATCTTCTTGAATGTCTTAGACTCCTTTTAGGACTCTACCAACCCCAAATTATTTTGACTTAAATTACAACTCAATTAATCATGATCTTGGATACGGATAAAGCCAACAGTAAGGACTTAACACAATCATTCTTCATTGCAACTATATAGACTTTACAAAATAAACAAAATACAAAGAATATTCAAAACTTACAAAAGCCTAGCCAACTCGTCTATTCTTTAACAAATAGTGATTGTTTTCCGGATTTTAGGATGTATATATGGAGCAAAGAATCTGCAGCAAGAATAGGTTGAGGAAGAAGAGTGAAATATGTCACCAAAAGTGCATTCACTAAAATGCTCTTAGTTCAGACTCTGCATTTTCTTTTAAATTTAGTGAAAACGTTTTCTTAAACATAAATTGTAATAATTGATTACTACTCTTTATGCTTCTTCCTCACCATCTGATCTGCAATTTTTCTTGTAGATCTCTAACGAGGTGTGTTGACCTCAAAAAATGTTGCCAACAGATGTCGGGCCCGCTCGTGTATGCGTAAACTTAATCCAACACATTAATGCCGATCGACGGTCATGATATCTCTAAAATCTGGACATGGGAGGAGCTCAACGACACGAGACGTCTCCGTTCGGGTCTCCGGCAAGATAAACAGAACACGCTTGTATAAGAAATCAATTGATAAAGAACAAGATTTGTAGTGGAAATATGCTGATAAACGAGAGAATAATATTGCTACAG